TGTTTGGAGTGCTATTTTGGAGCAAGGCTGGTGATCAAGGCAAGTTCTTCCGGTGTTCAGTAGTTTTGTTTTTTGGTGTTTTTTTGTATATAGACATATATTAAAATGTGTCACATGCTATATTTTCGACTCTCTTGTAAATCTCTTAAAGCAGACACTTATTAATGTCGCAAACGATTAAAATCGTGCCACCAGAAAAGTATACTTCTTGATAAGTTTATCAATGTTAGGAAATAGTTTACCTTAAATTGCAGAGAGTAGCATTAAATTATGTCGAACGCTACCTGACTGAAGAGGATTTACATATATATTTTTCCTAATGGTATTCTTTTATGAATCGATTACCAAGTGAACACTCTTTTGCTGTTGAATTTTTATGGTAACAACTTCCCCAAAGCACAGAGTATGGTAATATAACAACAGCACAAAAAAATGAATCCTTTTGTGTCGGTCCATGAGAGAAAACTGGAAAAGATGGTGTAGCTACTCAAATAAAGACCGTGCATTTATTTGGAGCAATGCATGGGTAGCACTATTGTGTTCGTGACCCACCCGCGCGCGACCGACGTCTATAGGAAAAAGTCACGAACTCATACCGGAGGACCCGAGAAGATCTCCTTCGCGTCTCACGCGCAACGAGGAAACTATATAGTTTTATGTCGGTTAAAAGCTCTGTAGAGATTATGTTATAGGTCTCACATACATGTATAAGGCGTGTATAATGATAGGTTTCATGAACGTTTCATAATCTATTTTTTTATGCTCACCGACTCCAGAGACGTATATACTACAGAGATTGGAAACTGCCTCTTTCTCATACCGAAGCGCACCCGTGTCGGGTAGTCTATTTGGATGACATCGATTTCATTGCAACGGCCTACGATATCGTTAGAGGATTTCCGAAACGCAAATTACAGCGCCCATTACTCGTCATCGATTATTTGTATGTTAAATTTAGATCATTCTTAGAAGGCCCTTTTCAACATAATTTAATTAGCAATATTTTATACTGTTGTCCTTAATTTAGAAGTCCATCTTAATACTGAAATAGATGTTTATAATTTTAAGAAATCTATAGGTAAAGAACGCACATCGTGATATGAGGGCGACTAATTAGTGAGTGTATATGCAATTTATAATTGCTACCTATGCGAGTTCAGGTGTGAATTTTGCAGGGTGTGTCTATATGTCGTGAACCTTTATCTAGAATTGTAATTAGCCAGAGGAGTAAGATTACACTTACTAGTAAACTGATGGAGAATTTTTTTTAAAAACCTCAGAGGCCATATCTTTCATACGTTTTACAAGTAAAAAATCAAGTTTGTGTTGTCTAAGAATATCAATGACTGGGGAAACATAATCATTTTCAATAAAACGAAGTGCTCGTTCCTGAACTTTTTCCATTTTTCGAGTATTTGTCAATGTACAAAAGTGCCAGGCAAGTGGACAATAGTTAAAATTTGATAGAATAAAAGACTTAAAAATGGTAATTTTTCCTTTCTTTGTAAGATTGTTTCCTAGTCTTTTTAAAACAGCAAGTTGTTTAGCAGCATTTCTGCAAAGGCGAGATATATGTACATCAAATTTAAGAAGAAAGTCAATATCCACACCTAAAAGTGTCACACTGTCTTCACAAATAATCTCAAGGCTTTCAATATTAAAAGATTTGATAGTGTTACTATTCTTTTTGCCAAAACATATTGCCTGAAATTTCTCTGGATTGGCCTTCATACCATTAAAATCAAACCATTCTATAAGAACTTTGCTCTCTTTTTCTAAACAATCTTTCAAATATAGATAATTGTCACAAATCTTAGAGAGCGTGTTGTCATCTGCGTAATTGTATAAAATACATTTATCTACAAAGCTAAAAATATCATTCATAAAAATATTAAAAAATAGAGGTCCTACAATAGAACCCTGGGGGACCCCTTCTTTACATCAGTCCATTTGCTTGTCTCTGGCCCCAGTCTGACCTGCTGTTTTCTGCCACTCAGGTAGCTGCTGATGAAGTCAATAGATGACTAACCCAGTTCATAAGCTTTGCAGCTTCCCGAGTAGCAGCTTATGAGGAATGCAGTCAAATGCCTTGGACAGGTCCATCAGGATGGCTCCAACATGCTGATGGTTGTCTATGACCTGCCTCCAGTCCTCAAGAGCAGCAGCAGCAGCAGCTCGCTGCCAAGAAAGGACTAAAAAATGGCTTAAGATATTCACTCAGTTGGTTATGAACAAGCCTTTCAAAATATTTTGACAAAGAGGGTAAAATACTAACAGGCCTGAAGTTACTCTTTTCCATAGGATTGTTTGTCTAAAAAATTGTTAAAACCTGTGCCTTTTTAAGAACACCAGGGAAATGGGAAACAGTTACACAATGGTTAAAAAGGGATGTTATGACAGGATTAAAATATTCTGTACCAGCTTTTAAGATCTTGGCAGAGATACCATCAAAACCTGTTGCTTTTTTCACAATCAATGATGAAAACAGTTTCTTAACATCATTCTCTTCTACGTGCTGAAAGTTAAAAACATTGTTTTCATTTTCTCTACAGACAGAACTTTTAATGTTAATAACACTCAGGTGGTCTGTAAAATTAGACACGCCCTCTGGATCTTAACCAATATCATCAGCAACTGTAGAGAAAAAATCATTAAAAACATCACACACTTCACTCTGTTTGAATACAATGCATTCGCTTTCTTCTAAAATGATTTTCTGGTCATTAAAACATTTGTTAGATAAAAAGGGCTTAACAGTAGGCCCAAAAATCTTTAGAGGCTGGACCTCCACCACATCGTTCTTGAAAATAGAGCCTTACAGACTGTCTACGGAGTTTCTCTACATAATTTCTGTAGGCTTCCCAGTTAGCAGCTGTTTTGATGCGGTTGTACTTATTTCCTTAAAGGCAGCTTTTCTAAGATTACTGTTTAAAAAATGAAGTTTATTTACACGAGGTTTGCGCTCTTTAACAGGTAAATGTACATCAACAACTTCTCTTATCAATTTATCATGAGCCCAGTAAATATCCTCGGTATCATCAAACACATATGCAACATGAAAAGGAACATTTGATAAGTCAGAGTTAAAATTATTCTGTTCAAAGTTTTTAAAACTACGGAATTTACTTTTTACCCTAGGCAAGCAATGTGCTGTGCCTTTTATAACAATTCCGATAAAATTGTGACAGTCACTTAGACCACAGTTAAAATTGATAGGCTTAAAACAAAGACTAGGGCAATTTGTAAGGATGACATCAACTAACGCAACTAACAAATAGGTGTAAATTGAATAAAATGCTCATTTCGATGCTCCTATAATGAGGCTTTATCGTGAAAACGTCCTTTTCTCTTAAAACTTTATTTAAGGATTAACTTGAATATATTTTTCATGTTATGGAGAAATAACACAAAAAAACCGGAGTGTACTCTATATAAACCGCGAAGCGGTTTATGATGAGAGTACACTCCGGTTTTTTGTGTTATAGCTCCATAACATGAAAAATATATTCAAGTTAATCCTTATAATTTAATCTACTGTACACAATCCCTGTGGAAATCCACTTTTATTGATGGACTCTTTTCTCTTAGAAATTATTGCGCTGCTGTATCAACCAATCAAAAGCGACGTTACAAATGGTGACGTCATTTTTTTACGTTATGGGCTGATAACATAAATTTTAAAGCCAATGGAAATGCTTGTTACAAGCAAGATTAAATTACTACGGTATGTCAATTAATTTTCAAAATATTTTATGAAGTCGATATATCAGAAGAAAAAGAAAAAAAATGTAAAATTTAAATCACTGAACCGATTTAAAATTGACCATCTAGAAAAAAACGGAGTTTAAACGAAAACCTTGCCTTTTTTTCTCTGTATTATAATGTAATGGCTGCCAGTGATGACTTCTCATTCTCAGATGAATTTAGCAATGTTGTAGTTATTTTACGAAGCTGAATCCAGAGAAGCGCAACATAAAAAATATTTTTTAATATATATCACCGAACAGATTTAAAATTGACCTGACAGAAAAAACGGAGTTTAAACGAAAACCTTGTCTATTTTTTCTCTGTATTGTAATAAAATGGCTTTATATGTCTCTGCCGACTCTAATAAAATTTATCTTGTCCTACCTGTGAACGTCGGGTGATGAGGTATGATATAAGACTTTCTGAAACCTTATGTATGTTTTTCTGTCATACGTACGTTCAACTAAGTGTTATTTTTGTACGAACTGTGGATGTTTGTGTCATATTATGTATTCACATATGTGTTACATGTGAGGTGAACAACAACTCGATCGTAAACATTCAATAGCCTGTTTAATTGTAATTTCCTCGTTATGAACAAAAATAATGATATTATTATAAATACGGACGTGTTTGCCTTTAGTTATTATTTCATGAAAGGAATTTATCTTCCAAATGGTATACATATAACCACGGAATTCCGTGATATAGCATACATTTCAACAAATGTCTGTCTGTCCAGAACGACTTTAATAGAAATGGGCCAAACTTGTCCCGGTCTCCCCTATATTTAGCAAAACCAGATCACCGACAGCCCGAGTTTCCTTTGGCCCTGACACCACTATAGCTGAGACTTAGACATTTCGACAGCAGATCATGACCAGTGTCTGGTGCCAATGTCTGGCGTGGCACCAGCCATCTATCTGTGAAATATCTAAAGGCTGGTGTCAGGACCAGAGAAACTTGAACCTTGCCCCTCCCGCATTTCAAAGCCATTTTCGTCACTGTGGAGTACATAGAACTCGGCTAGTAAAGGTAGTTTTGTTTTTGAAAATTACTCAATGAAAACTATCTTGTTAAGTCCATGGAACCTTGCATGATTTTTAAGACTGATCCTGAGAATACATAGATCAGCTATTTAAAAAAAAAAATGGGTGCCTAATGGTTACTTATAATTTGTGTTAACTATATATAACTTGGACCGAGGCTTCCAAGACGGGTACCAGTTTCTGACTTGGCTTTGAATTTAGAAACACCTTCAAACCGGAAGTTGACAGGTTTAAACGCAACCTCGCTATCCTATCATTACATTGCGTTACACGGTAAATATGTTCATGGTGTTGTCAGTGTACATGTAATTGTGGTGAAGTAATGTTTAAGTCAATGGTTGTCAACCACTTCAATAGTTACTATTTCTTCTCGTCGTTAGGGCGCATTTGGCAATGCCGTTCCATGTGGCAGGTCATTTTCACAGGGGCTCGGTTTCGGATACTTTCGGTTAATAATATACACACCAGTAAATAACAGCAACACTTTTTATCCGGTGTTTATACTGATTCTAAAACCTTATAAAAATTGAGGTTACCAAGGTTAAAAAACACCTCGGTACCCTCAATTTTTAAGGTTTTAGAATATGTATATATTTACTGGTGTGTATAGGTTTATTATTAACAGAGAGTAACACGAAACCGAGCCCCTGTGGTCATTTTAGCACATAATTATGTACTGCCGTAAGTCAAACAGGGGATCCAATCACAGACATTAGTTGTTTTCCTTTCCATACTGTATCGTCAATTTAGTATCAGGTAGGGAGGATTTACTGATAACTTCATGTGTTCACATATTTACATTTAAACACTAGATGCAGATGCCTACAGACTACCACAGACTTTGGCATCTAAATCCGTTACAGTATATATGGCTGTGGATAAATGGAATCTAACAAGTGAATTCTCTTCACCTGGTACTGGAGCACCGGCATATCTGGCTAAGATAAGTCAAATAAAACTCAATCTAATTAAAATTATATCTTCACATCGCTCCCGTTTACTGATATGTCGCTTCAACGCGACATATCATCACATAAAATAAAATTATATCTTCACATCGCTCACGTTTACTGATGATATGTCGCGTTGAAGCGACATATCATCAGTAAACGGGAGCGATGTGAAGATATAATTTTAATTAGATTGAATAAAACTTAATACGTTTAGGGTAAGGGTACCCAAAATGGAAAAGTATCCAAAATGGAACACTTTTGATATATATGACGCAGCCTTTGTTTTATTTTGCAATAAAAATGAATGGTGTGTATTCTCAATCAAAATTTATATAGTTTTATGCATTTTGAGTAAATATCATATCTGCCTATACCTCTTAAACATTTCTCATAACTCCATTGAAATATCAAAAAAATGAAATGAAAAAAAAATTCCTGGGAAACAGTACGATGCAACAACATAAATATTCTATCACATTTCTAAACATGAAAAACTATTTGTTCTAATGAATATTTTAGGGAATAAATGAGTAAAATTTGTCAGAAACTGTCAAAACGATTTTTGAAATTAAGAAAATTATTTGAATGCCCGTCAATTATTTTCGTAAACTGACTTATATGATGAAGTGTTCCATTTTACTACAGATCGAGATAAGAAACTGCCTCTTTCTCATACCGAAGCGCACCCGTGTCGGGTAGTCTATTTGGATGACATCAATTTCGTTGCTACAGCCTACGATATCGTTAGAGGATTTCTGAAACGCAAATTACGGTGGCCATTACTCATCATTGTATACAATAATGTTACAAAAATGAGAAAAATTGTATGTTAAATTTAGATTTTTCCTAAAAAAAAATTTCAACATAATTTGATAATTAATATTTTTATATTGTTGTTCTTAATTTTAGCGTCATCAAATAATTACTAAACTTGATAATTAATATGAGAATGAATCGTGATTTCAGAATGGAATTTCATCACTGGCAGCCATTACATTATCCTCAGGTTACCGGTTTCCGCGCACTTAAGAAGCATCCACGATTTCGTACTCATATCGACAGAAAACTGTTGAATACGGATGACTGTCATAAACATGTATACAATCTACTAATGGAAACAAAAACTAGCAACATAAAACTGTATTTAAAAAAAAAAACCAAACAATCTTTAACAAATTTCTCTCATCGGAAGTAGCTGTCATATGTTTCCTTGTGTCTATTTTGATTTAGTGTTCAAAGAAAGATAACTCAAATACACTAAAAAGAAATTCTCTACAGTGACCTGCAAGAACAAAAGCTTCGTTCGGAATAAAAAAATATCTTTGATCGTCAAATCAATTATCAAAATTTATTTATTATTATATTTATTATATTTATTTAGTTATAATATAGAATCTGTTATTTTTTTTCCGCAGTCTTATATCGGTTTTGGTTGATGGTAAGTTTTTCTCCTTTTGTTCTGTTTAAAATTGGTGAAAATTGGAAGTTCAATGCATTACAAGGTTTACGTTTCCTTGAAAACACAGTTTATCGATAAAAGAATGACTTCTTCGCTCTTCGGGGGTGGAAAAAAATCGGTGAGGAGATGTGACCTCATTTGCATACGACATTTCGTACGTTTGTCAGACTACAAAATAGACTGGTTCATGAATGAAATATATCACCTTTTTTTTTAGGTATGGGTTCATTTTGAGCAAGATAAAAAGTGCATTAAGCAGAACTGCATATTTTTGCATGTTTTTCAATCAGTGATTAATTCTTATGTTTTCTGGACGAACTTCCTTTAATTTTTATGTCAGTTTACAGGCGATGGCCAAACGTCTAAAATATCCTTGTGTTGTGTCCAGCAGGTCACGTAGTTACGAGATATAGCTTGATAAAATGACTGCGCGGAAATACATAATGCACGAAAACTGATGACTAGACGATATAATACAGAAAAAAATAGGCAAGGCTGTTTAAACTCCTTTTTTTTAATCTGTTAGGTGATTTATATTCTACAATATTTTTTTGTTGAGCTTCTTTGGCCAAGGGGACTCAATTTTGTATAAATGTTGGGGGTAGAGGGGCGGGGCCCAATAGGGAAAATATAGCAAATTCTTTAAAAATACTTCTACTTCTGTAGGAATGAAAGGATTTGTTCCATATTTGGTCAGAAGCATCCTTGGGTGAAGGGGGACCAATTTTGTATAAACTGTGGGTCTGGCCTGCCAGGGGCCTGAGGGGCAGGGCCAAATAGGGGAAACATAGCAAATTATTCTTTAAAATCCTCCTTTTTTTTTGTAGGAATGAAAGGATTTGGTCCATATTTGGTGTGGAGCATCCTTGGGTAAAGTGGAACCAATTTTGTATAAATGGTGGGTGTGGCCCCACTGGGGCCTGATAAACGGGGCCCAATAGGGGAAACATAGCAAATTATTTTTTTAAATCCTTCTTCACCTGTGGGAATGAAAGGATTTGGTCCATATTTGGTGTGGCACATCCTTGGGTAAAGTGGAACCAATTTTGTATAAATGGGCCCCCCTGGGACTTGAGGGGCGGGGCCCAATAGGGGAAAGAGAAGTAAAACCTTTATAATCCCTCTTTTACCATAGGGGTTAAGGGATTTTGTCCTAATTTAGTCTGGAGCATCCTTTGGCAAAACAGACTCAATTTTGTATAAACAGCGAGTGTGGCACCCTCTGGGGGCAGAAGGGATGGGCCCAATAGGGGAAACATAGCAATTCTTCAAATACCTCTTGAGGTCATCACAGGTGTGAAGGTGACTTACCTGTGAGGAGATCTTACGGGAGATGAACTAAGGGAGGCAGGTGCGACTAGGGGCAAAAGCCTTAAGGGATCGGTACTGGTAATTGTAATCTAACTCTTCTGGCTAATTAAAATTCTAAATAAAGGTTCACGACGTATTGACACACCCTGCAAAATTCACACCTGAACTCGCATAGGTAGCAATTATAAATTGCATGTAAACACACTAATTAGTCGCCCTACTCATAAGTACATAACACGATGTGCGTTCTTTACCCATGGATTGCTTAAATTTATATATATCTATTTCAGTATTCAGATAATTAATTGATGGGTTCCGTAAATAAAAATAGTGTCCGATACTTATGTAACTTGAAATTATAAAACAAAATCTATAACGAAAGCTGATACCGCCTATATGTGCAACTGCAGCCCAAGTCTTGCGACGGATCTCCGAGAACAATAGGCTCATGCGTGCGTTTGCAGATCTGGGCGAGTTGCAAATCTCTGGCTTTATATGTCTCTGCTCTGACCAGCTAAAAATTCCAAGTGAATCTGATGCACTTAAATGAGCTCTATAAATAGACACACATGCTGTTGGTACCCAAGAAATACATAAGATGAAGGCTAAAGGCATGTATTGTATAAGAAATATTGATATTTTTCTTTTAAAACTGTTTCATTTTGGGTACAATTTTAATTCATTTGGTAAATGTTTCTATGGTTCTTTCTTTTCCTGTCATCATGTGTCCCTTATAAGTAAAAAAGTATAGCCTGTGTCTATTCAATATGGGTCAATGTCTTCCCGAAGATGCCTCAGCTGTGCTTTCAGAAGATATTTCTGAGTAGAAATGATAACATGCAGTGAAAGTTTTTTATGTGACGAGAGGGAGTGAAATATTTAGCGTATTGGGAGAGAAATTGTTAATTTTCATATGTTATCATCAGATACAGAGGTTAAAAGATGCTGGTACCGGTACCAAAAATTGCAACAAAGAAAATCAACAAAGTCATCAGAAATTGAGTTATTAGATAGAAACCTTTCGTTTTACCGACTTGCCTGTTTGTCCACCAAAATTTTAATGAGCATAAGGAAATTGCGACCATGGTTGATTAGCTTGTTTGTTTACATTTGTCCTTTATATGTATACCGGTAGTCATATTTGACTGTATAGCCAAAATCTGCCTATAAAGCCAGATTTGCCAGTGCTCCAGAACCTGTTCACTTGGTGTCAAACACAGGCTGATGCTGATGAAATAATTTTTTACCTATGGGTTGAGATATGAGCTAAGTATAGTGACTTTACCAAAAATATATGTATCGTATGAGCATGCATGCCATCCAGTCACCACCTGTGCTCAATGTTTCTGCACTAAAGAGGGTGCCAGTAAAGTAGTATTTTCCCTCATATTCATTTGTTAATGCTTTCTATTCCTCAGGCTTGTTTTCCTTTTCAGGAAATCCTTGTCTCATAACTTTACCTTGGGAATCATGTGGGTCTCCCAGTGCACCAATGCACCTTCCCCACCCAAAGGAAACTGGTTACAATGTACACTAAGGGGTCTAGTTCGAAATAACATGACAATCACCTTCTCTTTTGATGGGATGGAGAAAGACTGCTCCATTAATAATTAAAGAAACAGATACACAGCTAGGGCTCACAGGATCATGAGACTGCCACCAATTGTAACATGCAAGGATGCACCCATCCAGCGACTGGCCATGCTTAACATTGGGAATATAATTGCACTGTATATAACCTGATTTTCCTTGGTTGCTACATATGTGTACAATTAGTGATAAGTATTGCCTTTAGACTCAAAATACAGTGATAAGCTATAGATATTATGTTACTACCTAGTTGCTATGTTTTAAGAATCTATACAAGTCTAAACAGATACCACAATGCATATGGTGGTTAGGGGCTTTCAGATGAGCCTTCACAAAGCAATAGCAGAAGTCAAATAGAATATTCTTTGAATTTGGAGAGTCCAAACATGTGCCAAATAGAGCTATTATTTTAAATTTTTGAGTCAAACCTCATTATTGAGACTCAATAACATACTTCCAATGGTGTACAGAAAGCTCTGGTAGGTGTTTATTTTTCTTTCCTACAGTTTTCCTGTTTATGGGGGAGGGGTGGTCATAGTCGGTGGCTTATGGTTCTATTTTAATTCTACTTACAGATGGCAAATGTGGATGCATCCTCTAACCACTCGCAGGATAAAAATGATGATGAAGATGATAACGAGGCAGAAGATGAGGGACCGTATCTCGGTCGTGATCTCCATGAAGGAATTCAAGCCTTGTACCACGATAAAAGTTTAACTGATGTAACTATCGTTGTAGACTCAGAAAAATTTCTATGTCATAGATTAGTGCTAGCCGCGCTGTCCCCATTCTTCCGTAGCATGTTCACAAGTGAATTTAAAGAAAAGTCCCAAGATGAGGTTGAATTGAAATGTGTCACTGCATCTACTTTCAAGTGCATACTAGACTACATATATGCCTTTGATGAAGTAATTGAAAATGAAAATGTACAAGATTTGCTTAAAGCTGCATGCATGCTTGGAATAGGATCTCTTCAGTATGATTGTGAGAATTTCATTATTGACAAGCTGACCTTTGAGGACTGTGCTTCAACATTGAAGTTTGCGAAAGCACATTCATGCAGGAAACTGGCAGATTCCTGTCTAGAAAAACTGGGTGAAAAGTTTGATACATTCAGAACATCTGAGGATTTTTTGAACCTGGACAAGGAGGATATTATTGAAATGATGAAAATGGAAAGTCTGATTACCTCTTCAGAGGAGAATACTGTTGAAGCTGTCATGAAATGGGTGTCCAACAAAAGTGAGGAACGTCAGGTTGATGCTGTTCTATACGATGTTTTGGAATATGTGAAGTTTCCACTGATGCAGGCCGAGTACTTATTTGAATTGACAGAACGTTACCCAGTTCTCTGTGAAAACTGTCGCGTGCGAAGTTTATTGGATGAGGCCAAACTCTATCACTGTGCTGGAGTGAGACGTCATGAAATTTCTTCACATCGAACACATTTCAGGAAAAAAAGTAAGCTTGCAAATATCATGTTCAGTGTCAAGTGTGACAACACACCATCCTTGTATGCCTACAGTTTCCAGGAAGAAAACTGGGGATTCCAGCGCTTTACAAGTCCAACAGCATATGGTCTAGGAGCTGCTTCTTGTATCCACGACAATGATTTGTATGTCCATGGTGGAGTAGCAAACTCACGTGGACAGGTACAAAAGTTTATTTCACTGACAAACAATTGGGCGAAGTGTCCATCATCAGGGAAACGCATGTATAACCATGCTTTAGTCTGTGTAAAACACTGCTTATATGCTATTGGTGGATGTGAGGTGGAACACAACCGGGTGATGTCTGGGATCATGGAGTTTGACATCCATAGCGAGTCATGGACTGCTGTGACCAAAGCTGCTCTCCCCTACCCAGTACACACTTTTAGTGCAACAGCCATCGATAGAAAAGTCTACATTTTTGGTGGGAAAACCAGAGAAGACAGTGCTTCCCTTAGAATCCAATGTTTTGACACAGTTTCCAGACAAACAACAGTGTTTGGTGACTTACCTATACCTGTTGCACTGAGCGGCGCTGTAACTGTTGACAAGACTGTATACCTTGCATCTGGGGCAGGGGAGATAATCCAGTGGACACCAGGAGATGGAGGACTGATCATCAAGTCTGTACTGAAGAAGGAGAGATTGAAAGAACGTGGTACACAGTTGGTGCATCACAACAAAAAGTTGGTAGTCTTTTCTGCTTTTGATTATGAAGAATATGAACCCTTGCCAATATCAGAAAATTGTCTTATTGATTTGGAAACTGGAGATATTGAACATCCATGGATGAACTTTCCGGAGCTGTCCACCTGGGGAAGGGCCGACAGGTGCAAAATGCACTTGTGTGTAGCCCCAAGATCCTACTTCATGTCACATCTGGATGATCCTAATCCAGATGATGAAAGCAATGATGAAAATACAGAGGAAGACCAGAGTTAGAATTGAAAACTTCTGATGTCATTCCATGAGCTATTCAATATTTTGGGAATATGATCTTGAGTAACTTGCTAACATGCCCCCACCCCCATCTTAAAAACATTTTAAAGAGTAAATGTAAGATCCTGATTTTTCTTCTAATTTGACAACAGTAAATTGTATTTTAAATGTCCTTATTTTAAGGAGGGGGACAGTTTTGAAGTTGAGATTTATGAAAATAAAAGTTGTGTACACCACAGGTGCCTGTTGAAACTTAATTAAGTGTTGAAAAATCACATCCCTTCAACATACAAGTATTTCAGCTGACATTTATGTACACAATCTGTAAATCAGAATGCTGTGGCATAACATTTAAAACTATTTTTAAGAAAATAGAATTAGTCTCATTGTTATAAGATCTAGATATATAATACATCATTGGATCACATTTGTGAAGAGACGAAAACAATTGTTCCGTTATATAAACGCACTATAGATGTATGGAATTGATTTACCTTATCTTTACCTGTGAAGTATATGAAGCATTGGAAATCATTGCTAGGTGAAACCTCTAACTGTAGATTACATTACGTAGTCACATAAGCAAGCTGTCTGCACACACAGGGTCTTGTTGAGTGAGGTTGGGGTGACTACTACCAAGACAAATATGTTTGAACATATGAACATATGAACATATGAAGACTGAAAATCAACAATTTCATGAAAATGTTGACATGTGAGTTTTCTAACTAGTCTTTGTGATCATAATGGTTTTATTATGATAACATTATGGACCGTTTTTACCCTAGATCATTATAATTAATTTTAATGAGCTGATTAATTACCATATTATTAAGAGTCAAAAGTTTATGCAGCATAAATGAAATGATGAAGTGGATTCAGAAATCTAATTGAAGACCTCCAAATTAGTGACCAGCATAACAATACTATCTTGGCTGTTGAACAGAACCTCTAGACCTACATGTGTTAACCTATATTATTATACCTCTACTTTATTTACTCTATATAACAGTAATTGGTTAAATCGAATATATCCCCACTTTTGCCTGACTGTGTTTTAGTCCTGTGTGTAAGTCTGGGAACTAAACCACACTTACACTCTGGTGTTTCCGCCGAGCCAATCAGACGAGAGGTGGGGAAGCTTGTTATCGAACTTGGAAGCGACTCACGAGGTGGGAGGAGCTTGCTACCAAACTCGGAAGCGACGTGCGAGGTGGGCGGAGCTTGCTACTTAACTCGGAAGCATTTGGCTCCATTGCCATCAAAGGGATAGTTGGGACGTGAAGCTATACAGCTTATGGTTTACAAATATTTTCTAGTTAAAACTATCTCTCCAGTGCGTATCGGTATAATAAAACGGTTAAAGTATGGGGTTAAGGGATATAGCAAGTTTCTGGTGTCCCTTGACCATGCCTATTACCCTTGGCTTCGCCTCGGGAAATAGACCTGGTCTCGGGACACCAGAAACTTGCTATATCCCTAAACCCCATACTTTAACTGTATACAAAGGGGTGTGGCATAGTTCCCATAATAGATATATCTCCGTGCCACATTTAATAATACATGTATATAACCTATTCACCTTGTAGTGATGGGAATCTGTACCATGCTGCTTTGGAACGTATTATGTGTACAGTGTAACCTACTGTAAGCTACTATAATCTTATATATAATGCATGTAAAAATGTGTACATTTAGTCCAGGTTATCAATTAAAAGCATCCCCTGTACTTAAATATAAAGCACATTATATAAAAAGATGTAGGTGTTTTATGTTAATTAAATTCAGATTAGATTCAAATTCACTAATATTGGACATATTGTAAATTTTGAGATTTATCAATTGGGGAAAAATGATTACGTGTATTAAGCTTAGTCAATTTAATCATATTTTAATTGTCCACAACATAAGATTTTAAATGAAAAGTCTAGTGACTAAAGAATGTACTGTATATTGGCGAGTGGTAACACTTAATGACATTTTAGGTACAGGTACATCATGGGAAGTCACATCCTAAAACAAGGTCACTTTGACCTCAATTTGACCTTTGACCTTGACCTAAAATTAAATTAAGTGTAATTCAGGTTTCTACAGCATATACAATGTAGATCTTGGTCACTGTTTCATGAATGGGTTCAAATCTTTGTAGGTATGTCAAATTAGCAGGGGTATCCGTGAAGCTTACACTTTGAGCTAATTAAATCTAGTTTTGAAGTGAATGTATTAGTGTATACAAAATTTGGGCAAAGTTGTCTTTATTTTCTTCTATAATTCATTAAAAATAGTCATACTTACATATTTTTGCAGTAATGTCATTATTACTCTACAAGTAAAAGGTAATCTAGATATGAACATAATCTGTGATTATATAGTGAATGGATGGGCATGACTACACTCTCTTCAAAAGTAGGTACAGTACAATGTACACATGATACACTGTAACTTGAACTCATACTTTAATTAGTGTATGATTGAATTAAGAAACAGATGAAAGAGTGTAGGGTTGAATTAAGAAACAGATGACAGAGTGTATGATTGAATTAAGAAACAGATGACAGAGTGTTAGGATTGAATTAAGAAACAGATGACAGAGTGTAGGATTGAATTAAGAAACAGATGACAGAGCGTATGATTGAATTAAGAAACAGATGAAAGAAAGAAGTGTTGTTCTTTCTTTGCTCTATATGATTAAGAAAATTGCCAAAGTCACATTTTGTACCTATGTAGTCATGCCAAATGTGATTTCACTTAATTACAAGTGTCGTACATATATACCAGGTATTGACAATAAGGGTACATGTAGTTCTGTAGTCTGGGACTACTGAAATCTACACCTGGACTATATAGTTGTTCTGAAAACTGCTAGCCAAATTGGTTCTAGTCCAAATTTTATATTCCTTATGTTGAATAATATTAAGTGGAATTTGCACATGGACTATACTTACAGCTGAAATTACTAACCCAAAAGTTATTTCTAGCCCTGACTATAATATATATGTTCAAGTTTATTATGCAATTAATTAAATGCCTTCATGGTATTGGTACAGTAAAAAATATATGAATCTTGGTAGTAGGTTGATCATGTGTTGTGTTGCACAAGGCCAACTGTTTCTTGCAACAGAGGAGCAAATGTTTTTGTCTATAGCATGAGAAGACATTCAAAATGAAAATAGAATGCAAACAATATATGTAAAATAAGGGTACAAAAATGCAAATATCATGATACAGTATTTTTATTGCAGTTTACAACTTTGAGAGCACATTGCTATATACAATGTTCATGTATATATTTATTAAAGTGATCTATCAATTAAATCCATCTTTATTTTTACAATGCATGCAGTGGTTTGCTTCTTGGAACTTATGAAAGAAAATCATGATCATTACGTAATATATAGGTGCTAGAAATCATAGATTCCCTTTTTAAGTGCAAAATAGTGCTACCTGCAAGTTTAGTTTCATAACAGGCACTTGTGGCTCTGTAAATGCTTCAAGCCAGAAATGAGTAAATACCAAGAAAACACAAGATATCACAGAGAGGCTATAGAGACAATGTATGAACAATGAAACCATCATGTTTTTACTAGTCTACATTAACTTCAGAGATAGTTTGGGTATTAAAAAATTAGGTAAACTCCAATTTATAAAATACCTGTACAAGTCAGATTAATTGGAATGAAACATATATATAAAAAATACAACTCAATCAAAATCATGATGACTTTCAATATCAATTATGCATCAACAATGATGTCAATTCATACAGCATATATATGTATATATATATATATATATTATAAAAACATATAACCCAATTTCATAAGGTCATGTCATAATCTTGATCAAGCAATCTTACCAAGACCCACCCAAAAAATATAATGTATGTTTCAGAAAACATGACTGAAAAAATAAGAGGTCAGTCTGTTGGTATGTTATTCATTTTTTCCGAAGGAAAGGGGGCTAATTTAAGAAGTAACGAAAATCACCAAACATATTTTTAGGGTCTTTTAAATAGTAATATGGGATTTAAATTTGGTTTGCATACCTTTCTATGAAGAAGAGCGTATATATAGTTGCCTTTTTTGTTTCTCCATCAATTCGTTGGCATATGGTAAACAAGTTATCCCACTGAAACACATGGATGAAGTGTGTTCGAGTGCGATAAAATGGTTAGAGGTGGAGGTAAAAACTAGGGTCAGGAATTGGGGTACCTGAAACATACATATTTTTCGTTTTTGGCCAAAGCATATTGCATGACATCACACTATACAGAGTTTACATAGCTTGAGACATTCTGAATATATTTTCAATTTTTGCTCATTTAATAATCTGATCCTGTGACATCGTCCATTACAAGACTATTGACAAGTGCTAGGAACTTTTTAAAAGAACACTTGAGTGTATACAAATTACAGATATATATATTAAACATCACAGTTATTACTTGGTCATACTTTCAGGATCAGTGATTGCAACTTCAACTTTTCCTCTGGCAGTCATGGTTTTCAAATATGAAAGTCTTTGAAAAATATCTCTCACACTCGCTACATTTCAAAAGATTCGGTAGCAAGGAGGATTCCTGCTTTTTAGTTTCAGTCAAGTATGTTTTAACAACAGGTGGGATTTCAGCTGACAAAAAATCAATTTCACTTTCAATGATGCAGTCAATGCACAGTTTCACTAGAGAGTTCAGTTCACTCGCCTTAGTTTTGTTCCCTTGGTAGTAAGGTTTCCAATTAGCTAAAGCATCCACACGAGTCCGTCGAATCCCGAGAGCTCTAAATATGGCCTCCTTTCCTTCATGACAGGTAGAGAGCGGTGGGGATTTGATGTCATTGTTGCCACACACATTGAAGGTCTCGAGTGCTTCAAGATTAAGTAAATCTGTCGGAAGACTCTCTAAAGCATTGCTACTTAAATCTAGTATCTTCAGTGATGGAAAGTAGCAGAGCATCGGTGATATGACCGTCATACAATTGTCGGAAAGGTCCAAATGTTCCAATTTTTTAAGCAAGACAATCGACCAGGGTAGGTATTCAATCCTGTTCCCAGAGAGAACAAGATACTTGATATTGACAAATGATCCTATGCATTGAGGAATACTTCTTATAGGTGCTCCTTTCATAGTAAATCGCTGAACATGAAGGCGTTGTTCAGTACAACTTGACAGCAAATTATGTAGCTGCAAACCTGTTTTAATCTGTTTACCATCTATATCAATTTCACTTGACTCCTTTGAGTTTCTTTCTTTTGATTTCAAATGTCTGCATGCTTTTGAGAGAAATTCCATTTTGTTCTCTTATTAGGGCCTCCACAGCTGATTACCAGTATACCACTGTATTCCTGCAATGAAAATGATGGTGATTTGGTTTATAACAGTTTATGATCAGGGGATGAATAACTATAGATGGTGGATAATTTTTTTTTGTTGGGGGGGGGGGGGGATGTGTTTTATTTAATACAAAGAGATTTTGTTAAATTATGCTTACAAGTATAATCTTTTTAACTTTCATTTATCAGATAATACAAAATTGCATTGGTAAAGCATTGTAAAGTAAAAACAAGAGGCCCATTGGGCCTGAATCGCTCACCTAGTATAAATTTCACACTTGTTATCTTAAAAGTGGACGAAAATACAACTGCAGGCAGAATATCAGTGTTTGATTAATAAGAACCTGTTAAAATATTTAAACATATGACACCCGTGACCTTGAATGTCAAACAAGGATATTAGGTTGAACAGAATTTATAGTCTTCCAACCCTGCATATGCTTCTAGCAAAATATCATTACCCTGGACTTTTTGGTCATACAGAACAAATCATTTAAAGATTTAAACATTTATTGACCACTGTGACCTTGAATATGGGCGAAGGTTATTTATTTGAACAAACTTGGTAGCCCTTCATCAAAGTATGATACTGGCCAAATATCATCATCCTAGGCCTTTTGGTTATTGAGAAAGAATTGTTTAAAGGTTTTAAACATATTTGACCCCTGTAACCTTGAAAATAGATGAAGGTCATTTATTTGAACAAAATTACTAGCCCTTTATTCCAGCATGTTGCTGGCCAAATATCATTATCCTATGCCTCTTGGGTATTCAGAAGAAGTTGTTTAAAGGTTTTAAACATATTTGACCACTGTGACCTTGAAAATGGGTGAAGGTCATTTGTTTGAACAAACTTGGTAGCACTTCATCCCAGCATGTTACTGGCCAAATATCATCATGCATCCAAGGCCTTTTGGTTATTGAGAAGAAGTAGGGGTGCTGTTATTCTAGAGATTTGACAAATTTTCTTACATTTTTCTTGCTAATGGTCAATACACAATAACTCCAGGAATTCATGTACAGGTTCATTTTTTCATTAATTTCATTATTCATTGCAAATTTACACCACTCAAATTCTGCATTCAAACGTTACTTTTCAGAAAAACTCAACAATATTTTCAACAAATAATTTCTGCAAAGGTCATTATTGACATGGGTATACCAACCAACTTCCATATTTTTATCATTTTGAGGAAACATTATGAGCCCATCTCATACTATATTATACACTGACATGAGCCTGTATGATCGCAGGAACTTACAAGGAAAGGGGGGTATATATTGGGCTTAATCAGTTCTCTGAGCTTAAATAGACCATTCTGATAGAAATTCAAGTTCATGTGGTATGATTAACATAAATTTCCAAATACTGTACCAAGTCATATCGATACAAATGTCATCCATGGCCACATGCACGTGGCATATATACAAGACTTCCAGATTGAATCTGATTCTGTCATGAAACAAAATACATGTACCGAGATTTGAAAGATGTTATTTTTAGTTATTAACACTTCAGCCATAGAAGTGTTCCTGTGTGTTAGAAGATGTAGAAAGTAATGGAAATCATATGTTACGATTAAATAAGTTTTCTTTATTCCATTGTTGTATTTCTCTGTAACGAAAGTGAAGGAGAATAAATGTTCTTTCAACCCTCATACCAACTAAAACCGGGTCAACTTACAACTTCCCTCGGCACTGAACCGGGCCTACTTTCTGTTTGAGGATCGTGAATCCCTCGTATGTAATCTGAGCGGTCGCACATCAATCAGAGTTCATGTGTTGACATTGTAGCTCCTTAATTGTTTGAAAGTGTAATTGTCTCTGAAATAAGTGTCATGTTCAAGTTTAGTTCTAATTTAAGCCAATACTGGATGATTATAGATTAGGTGTAGATGTCTCGGAACACCAAAACAATCAAACGTCATCGCGACGAAATCGGGGTTTCAAAAACGCTTTGGAAGGGGGGGTACGTACGTACTGCTTCCTGTATAATTTGATAAATAAGTTATTTTTCGCAGGTTGGTAAGTAGTGAAAACTGTGGAAGTTTTTGTATTATACTCTTGATTTTAGTAAAGTTGAACATTTGAAATACCTTTAAAATATACATATAATATTGATATAAATGAAGTAGTCCCTGTCGTGAACCCCGAAAAAACGTAAGTTGCCCGGATGTTTAGTATTTAGGAGAATTTGAAGAATGGCGTCAACATAGTCATGTGGATTTGAACAGAAGTGTTTGCAAATATGATCGAAAGTAAGTATACAAGAAAATGAAATCAGTAATTTTTATAATAGAGAGCATCAGTAGATTGATTTTACATACGTTTGAATGTTTGACTTGGCTGTCAAGATGCGTAATGTAGACAGCTTTTAGGAAAATGTAACGATACACGCATGTTTCTCCCAACTAGGACATTATTGTATGACGTTTAAAGCACGAAGGAATTGAAATAACATAGCTTCAATTGCAATAAGTATATCATAGCATGGTCCTTAAAGTATGATCCACTTGACTTACACATTTTGGATAACTTTTAGAACATGTCTTCCATGGAGCTTAATGAAATGTTGACTGAAACGTCAGTAGATCTAAACGGGTCACTGACAATGTGAGTGACCCTTGACCTTCTTCTTATGATGAACTTTTTGGTACATGTATATTAACACAATCAAGTCATAATATTGTTATTACATCATCAGATATATGTCTGGTGGATCAAAAGGTATGGGTAGCCATCAATCTCCATGCAAATTAACTCTAAACTTTAAAAAAAAAAAAAAAAAAAGCAATATTGCAACCTGTTTGGCATGCTGCGGCATTGCATCATCATCATCATCAGAACATGCATGCACAGAGGGACCTGAAAATTCGTTATGGCTATATTTGGACCTAAACTAAGGTGTTCAGAGTAATTCTACATGTGTTTTAGCTTGACATTCGGTAACAAGTCATCAGGTCCCTGTACAATATTGTGTGCATATTGCACTGTACAGATGCAGATTTACCTCCGAGTGATAATTGTGATACTATATATTTTTATGGAATTCATTATACAGCTACATGATCATGATCGTCAGTTTGGCTGACTTTTAAAGACTGGCCGCGGATGCATCTTATATCAATAGTTTTTAGCTCACCTGGCCCGAAGGGCCAAGAGTCGAGACATGCCATGTCATGCTTATTACTTCATGCCATGGCGCAGCGTCCGGTGTCCAGCATTTAAAACTTTTCCCTTTAAAACGCTACTAGCCCTTAACAAATTTGGTCTGAAGCATCATTGGCCAAAGGCCTATGGTTCTCAGTTTTATATAAACGGAGGTTATGGCCCGCCTGGGGGCAGAGGGGCGGGCCAAATAGGCGGAAAATAGGTAAATCTGTAAAAATCTTCTTCTTCTCAACCAATAGAAGGATTTTGACCAAATTTGTTCTAGAGAATCTTTGGAGAAAGGAGACTCAAGTTTGTATAAACATGTGGTCCCTCTGGGGGCGGAGGGGTGGGGCCCATTAGGGGAAATAGAAGAAAACATTACAGATCCTTCTGTACCATTGAAGGGATATTTTAACCAAACTTGTTCTAGAGAATCTTTGAGCAAAGGGAAATTAATATTTATAAATGGTAGATGTGACCCCCCCCCCCTCCCAACTAAATAATTTCTTGGTGTCTTTCCCGCCAAAACAGGTTTATATGTAGTTCTTCTTGCAACTTTGTTTCTTCTACTCCTTTGATAAACCTGTATGGTACTCAGCAGGTTTTAAATTGAAAAATAAAACCAGGTGAGCTATTAAGGCCCCTGGACCTCTTGTCATTGAATTAAAGTTGCATATACCGGTAGAATATTGATTATAAAACTAATGTTCACTGGATCAAAATCATTGAGCAGTTCAGGTATTTGGTCTTCAACCCCCTGGTTTAACCCTTACCTTTGGAGTAAAAATTTGTCCAAGTGCATACAATATAGTATATACATTACGAAATTAAAAACCTAAGTTCAGCAGTTCAAAAGAGAATATTTTGAGGGTGATTGATCTAAAGCTAAGTGTACTTTAATTTCTGTAGTTCAGGTCATAGAACAATGATCAAACATTTGAAAAGATAAACTGATATTCTTTGGCATTGACAGGTACTTCATGAAAACCTAATCAAATGGAGAATCACCAAGGTAATGCTGTCTACCCTGCTCAGCTGGCGATGGACAACCCCATCATTGTACTTGGTTTGGAAACTGGACAGGTACATATATGCCTAAATTAACAGAAAATAATACAAAAGGTTTTTTTTTATTACTTTTTGTTTCATTTGTATACATATTGACATTAACTTTGGGAAGAATTAAGGACTAATTGGTTTAAAATTAATAGAATCTATGATCACTCCTGTATGATTTGTATAGACAGAGAAATATCCATCAACCCTCTGGATAAATTATGATTTTTGAAGTTTATACAACACTTAACAAAGCCTCATAATGTTAAACTTCTAAAATCTTACTCTGGGGTTGATATTTCTCTGTCTCTGACCACTGTTGTCTTCACCAGGACAAGCCTGGTGGCGGCGACAAGGATGACGGTGTGAGGAAGAGTGTCCGATGTAAGCGACCACCCCAGTCCTTCTCACCAGGCCTGGAGAGTGCTACGGGGGAGCGTTACAACGAATCAAGCAAGACCAAGAAGCTGAAGACAAAGTCAGCAACTGCACCAGATCGACCCTGCGATCTCATGCCAAATGGTTTGTCAAATATAGACTATATACATCGTTAATTTTTACTTCAAGCTGATATATCAAGTTTATAATATTCTCTTGAAAACATATTTGTTGCTAACTTAACCCTTTCAACCCTATGTAGACTCTGCCATGCATTGATCTGGATGAGTCCATTATGGTCTACAGTGGTGGAAGGTTTAACAGTATATTCAAAATGTATTGCATACCTATACTGTTGAGAAACACTAAAATGTATATTAAAAATTAACTTACATAGAATTGATTAAAACGTATTTGTTTTATACATGTATGTAACAAGATAATTAAAGCTAAGAACATTTACTGTATTTGAATTAAGGTATGAAGCTAGTACTTGTTTACATACCATCTTTACTAGGGAGATCATTAGAATTTTAATCTGGTTCACGAAGCATCTCTCTTAGGTCATAAAATTCAATGTAGCTCATGATCAGTATTACAATTTATCAATATACAAAGTAAGTGCACCAAATTTAATCTGACTGCTTGTTGTGATTTAAAGTTAAAACTGACAGAATTGAAAGCTCCATTTGAATGTTCGACTTTGAAAAGAAATGTATTAAATAGTTTTGTAGGTGATCCTTTTCTGTATGACCTGTGTATGAACAGAAATGTATTAAATAGTTTTGTAGGTGATCCTTTTCTGTATGACCTGTGTATGACCAGAAATGTATTAAATAGTTTTGTAGGTGATCCTTTTCTGTATGACCTGTGTATGAACAGAAATGTATTAAATGGTTTTGTAGGTGATCCTTTTCTGTGTGACCTGTGTATGTCCCCATATGTCATCAACAGATCTCTGAAACGTTCTCTCAAAAATAAAAGGTCCAAACACAACCCTGCTCCTCGTAACAAGATGGACCCTCTTACTGGAAAGATTCTGATGCTTTGTAATGCATGTAGTAAGTATAAAGTTGTAAGTAGGTATATGTATGGCATCAATAAGTAATATATATGACTATATACATAGCTGCTGTAGTAAGTCTGTGACACATATAGATAAAACATATACATGTGTGAGACCAGTAAATATTTATATGTTTTACTATATATAGCTAGTGATATGTGTGATAATTATATTAAATAATATAACTATTTTGTACAATAAACGCATGTGAGACACCAGAACTTACGGTAAACAATACCAGACCCGTGAGGTATGGAGACATACATAAGCGTTTGACAGTGGTGAACTGCAGGTAGATGTAGCTTTGACTGCTGGCCTCAGGTTTAAGTTGTGCATGCTCTCTAAACAGATACAAAATTGTAAGATATTGTGTATTACTACCCCTGGTTCAGGTATTGATTGTTCTTGTCAAATTTTCACACTGGGTACTCTGATTCATATGGTACAGATCTAGAGTTAATCCAGGCGATGTGAAGCAAAGTAAGCTGAATATGTCTTGACATCATGTAGTAAATACTTATTTTTGTCTGTCAAAGTGGTTTAAAACCTCAACTGAAATGCATGCAGTAGAAAAAAAATGATTACTTGTGACTTATGTAAAATTTCAAATAGAAAACTGCAAATATTTTTTATTAATTACAACTGAGATATGAAATTTTGTCAATGAAATGAACCAAATCACCGGTTTATTTACATAACCTGTCGTTTATAAAGCTTTATTCAATATGTTTCTGTCATTAATGTTGATTTTTAATGCTTCATCTGCCAGCTTAAGCTAAAGGAAAACCATAAAATAAGATATATCATAAAATGCTTCATCCAGATCTAAGAATGACATGTAATACCGTAAAAACCCATGTAATTTGCGCACCTGTGTAATTTGCGCAGGTACTTTTTGAGGCTGAAAATGGGGGAAAAAGCTTCTACTCGAAAATCGATCTCTGAATATTTTTTTTTTGAATATATTTCTATGATTTTTTTTCATTGATGTAAAACGATATTTAAAACCAAGAAGAAACTACGTAAAATGTGTATTTTGTTGCTTGTTTTCTTTAAATTATCTGATCACACGTGTGCGCATATCGGCATACATCAATTCATTTTAGCAATATTTTACATAAAACATTTACTTGCTTACAAAAAAAAAGTGCGCAAATTACATGGGTTTTTACGGTATGTTTTGGCTGAGTTGTTCGCCTTTCAGTTTTGATGATTATTTTTGCCTCTGTTTAGTTTCGAACCAATTTGTTCTGTGGTTCATTTCATGTGGTTGGGGATTTAATATCTAAAACTACATGTCTTTTTCCTCTTTTTTTTCTTCTATCTTATCATATATATTGTAAGTATGCTGAGCTGAGCAAGACAAAAATAGTATAGATGATTAGTCAATACATTGGTGTGTTCAGGTTTTTGGTCTGAAAAAAATCGGGATTGAATGTGGGAAGGTGGAGTAGGAAGTGTCCCCATCCTCCTGTATCCGCCCGTGATAAGAAGTCTATATGACATGTACAACATATCTTGTGTGTTTATACTGGAGATCATTATCTGGCATGACTGTTCTTCAACTGTTCTTGGTTGCAATCTATATTTGGGCTTCATTACAATTTACATAGTGTGGTCAATGGTTTGCTCCCTATCGACAGATCATGTACTCTGTACAATCATTTCAAAAAGTTACCCCATACTTTGGTACATTTTGCATAGAGTGGTCAATGGTTTGCTCCCCATCAACAGATCATGTACTCTGTACAATCATTTCAAAAAGTTACCCCATACTTTGGTACAATTTACATAGTGTGTTCAATGGTTTGCTCCCTATCAACAGATCATGTACTCTGTACAATCATTTCAAAAAGTTACCCCATACTTTGGTACAATTTGCATAGAGTGGTCAATGGTTTGCTCCCTATCAACAGATCATGTACTCTGTACAATCATTTCAAAAAGTTACCCCATACTTTGGTAAAACTCAGCTGTTCTTAAATAACTGTATATAACTTATGCATTGTATTACTTTTAATATATTCTATTCATTATAGTGAATTATGTGTAATTGACACATCATAGAATGCTTTGCATAATTGATACGTCATAGTATTTTATATCACACTAATAATGAAGAATCAAGTGATTCTGAAAAAGCAAATCAAAATGATTTCAAATGAATGTAAATGTTATATTGATTCTTTATGAAACACATGTTTTTTTTAGGTATAACTTTTGATAGGCCCCGAAAGCCTAGAAAAATAATTCCCATGCCAACTGCAGAAGAGATGGAAAAAATCCTCAAAGGTGCAAAAGATTTTGGCAAGAAATTGGTTGTAAAAACGAATAGACCAGAAGGTAAATACATGTATAATGTTTATCCTGACTAAAGGACGTTGTAGCGTTAAGTCTGGTGGTAGAATATGATGGATTTAACATTTAAGCCACTGTTCATCAGTTTGTCCATTTCTCATAATTAGGGCTGTTGCAAATGAATGTAAAAGAATGGAGGTCAAGGCGGAAAGTGAATTGTCCTTTTATTGGGGGTCAAGTCGTAAGGGGATAATTCTTTCATTGGGGTCAAGGCGGAAAGTGAATAATTCTTTTATTTGGGGTCAAGTCGAAAAGTGATTAATTCTTTTATTTGGGGTCAAGTCGAAAAGTGATAAATTCTTTTATTAGGAGCCAAGGCGGAAAGTAAATAATTCTTTTATTGGGGGTCAAGGTGGAAAGTAAATAATTCTTTTATTGGGGGTCAAGGTGGAAAGTAAATAATTCTTTTATTGGGGGTCAAGGTGGAGGGTAAATAATTCTTTTATTGGGGGTCAAAGTGGAAAGTAAATAATTCTTTTATTGGGGGTCAAGGCGGAAAGTAAATAATTCTTTTATTGGGGGTCAAGGCGGAAAGTAAATAATTCTTTTATTAGGAGTCAAGTTGTAAAGTGAATGATTCTTTTATTGGGGGTCAAGTTGTAAAGTGAATGATTCTTTTATTGGGGGTCAAGGCGGAAAGTAAATAATTCTTTTATTGGGGGTCAAGGCGGAAAGTAAATAATTCTTTTACTAGGAGTCAAGGCGGAAAGTATTCCATACTTTTATTGGGGGTCAGGGTAGAAAGTGAATTGTTCTTTTATTGGGGGTCAAGGTAGAAAGTGAATTGTTCTTTTATTGGTGGCTGCAACAACATTTATTTGTATTTCAAGCATGCAATTTAAATTTGGTTGCCTGGTTGGACAACTTTTAGACAGAGAAAGTTAAATTGTGTGGGGCAAACAGAACCAAGACGATGATAAATGATTTGTTTTATGATGAAACCTATGAGCTTTATGTAAAACTCTTCACTGTACGTAGCAGGGGCGTTGGATTCACATTGAATAATTTGAATTTATTTTGTGCAATAAAATGTACTGGTAATGTTGAAATGAGTCATTCAACAGAAAATGATATTTACTCATTAATAATCATCTTCATGCACATTCCATGATTAATAGCTTTATTTGATGGGGTTTATATACATTTTTATATCAAGTTGACATATGTTTTCTTCATGTCGAATTTCAGTTTTCCTGCTTTTTTTTTAGCTGAGAGATTATACTGCCCAGTGGTCAGGCCTAAAGCTTGTGGATGTTTACAGAAATACATCATTGGTGATGGTGAGATGATTTCATTCAACTTTGTACCACAGTACCTGTCTCAAAAGTTGAACAGGTGCTATGTTAATCACAGACTATGTAGTCTTATTAAATTTGACAGTACGGTAAGAGTTGACTTCATTAAGGATGATATGTTGTATAAGATACATCTCTGTATCAAATAAAAAAAATGATTATTTATGTACATATGATCTCAAGAAGTTAGGGATGGTGGGTGGAAGGCAGATTTCAGCAAATCAATGTTTTAGGGTCAGTTGATACAAATAGGGTCTGGTGAGAATTTAGAAACACAAGTAATGTTTTGTTGGCCGATTAACAGTACATGCCAAGAAGCCATGGCCCATATCTTTGTGAAGTTTGTAAAACGTTTTTATGCAAGATGAACTAATTTTGGGAATAATAAGAATAATGAGAGGATCTTGGTTCAGTGTATTTATTTACTTATTTGTGGATTCTGATTATCAAGGTGGCTCAGATGAGTTTGATATACGAGCTAAAGCCATGATTGACCTTTTAATGAAGGCAAGGGAACTCAGTGCAGAGAAGTGTTACGCCAAGAAGACTGAATCTAATGGAAAGTAAGTATAAATACATAAAGGTTCCCCAACGAGTGGTGGTTGGTTATCATGTTTATCTAACTCAAGTTAGTTAATCTTCAGATTGTATAAAGACACCAGGTTTACCAAGTGTCTTTTACATTTTGAAAATTAACTTACAAGAGTTAGATAAAGGTGATAACTAATCATCACAGGTTTGGGGAACTATTCCTCCCATAACGTTCATATTTTATCTGAAATACCACATTATTCCCTTGGAAAATACATCATATTTTTTTCTGATGGGGGAAACAATTGCCAAGGAGCATGATCGATGTCACAATGGAAAATGACGTCTAAAAGCATTGTTGTTGTCGTCATCAATCAAAGATTTCCCAATAAAATCATGTCCAGGGTGTTATCCACTAGTGGGTGACCAAAAATGTTTACCAACTCCTAGGTTTAGGCAATGAGTCAAGAGTGAGGAACCTTCATTGGTTGTGGGAGAATATAAGACTTTAGGCACAGGGGTGTAGGATAGGGGGAAATTCCATCCGAGGGGTTTTCTTGGGTGGAATTTTCCTATTCGACACCCTTGGGCATGAAAGAGTATTTTTCTCTCATTCCAACTACCAGAATAAGTTCTGAAACCACCAAATGCATTTGGGCTGGCTACCATTTTGCAAATATCAACTTTTCCCTTAAGATTTTTGGACAAAAACGAGTCTGTCAGCAAGATTTAGCATACCTCATATTTGCAAACATAGTTTATGCAGAAAATATTATCTTCTCTTTCTAATGTGTATTGTAAATGTATCTTAAAAGGTTTTGAATTCATCACGTCACCTTTAACCGCATGGCGGCATCAAAGTTTTCCAAATTTGTGACGTCACATCATTGTTTAGCCATTTTGACATCACGTCACGTGAAATGGGGTGTAAGATTATAAGACTCTTTGATGTCCAAGGGTGTAGGATAGGGAAATTCCACCCAAGGGGTTTTCAAATTTGGTAAGACCCCGAGGCTTTGCCATCATTTTAAAAATCCAGAGGGTTGAATTTTCCTATCCTACACCCTTGGGCATGAAAGGGTATTTTTCTCTCATTCTAACTACCAGAGTAAGCTCAGGAACCATGAAAATGAACTTGGACTGGCTACTATTTTGAAAATATCAATTTTTCCCCTCAGCTTTTTTGATGAAAAAAAAATTGTTAGTGAAATTTAGCATACCCCATATCTGCAAACGGAGTTTGCCCAGAAAAAAATAATCGCGTCTTTCTAACGTGTATGGTAATCATCACATTGCCTTTTCCGCCTTTTCCGCATTGCAGCATCAGTGTTTTCCAAATTCGTGAAGTCACGTCATTGTTGAGCCATTGTCACGTCATGTCACGTGAAATTGGGTGTAAGATAGAAATTTCCTACACCCCTTTCTTACCCTGGACAGCTCTATCTTACGCACGGGAATGAGAGAAACATATTTCTCCAACAAGATTCTATGAAATCATTACAAAAAGGAAGTTAGCTGGAGATTCACATTATCCTTAGGTATCACTTGATCCTGTGGCTTTCAGATCTAGACCTGCATTTCGTCAACATGAACCATTTCATGTTTTGTAGGGGAAGAAGTTCCAAGAATCAAGGTGTAGGCATAGGAAATGGACAAAAGCGCTCCAAGGCTTTTGAAGACTTTGTTCTCACTCAGAGAACACACCTCAAGACTGACCTGAAGCTGTGTGAGAGGGCTGTTCAAAAAGTTCTACTGTACTCCAATAACTTTCTACACAAAAAGCTTGTCACTGAAAAGGTAAAATCAGAACGACAATTTATACTATGGTTAACACTGAACATTCTGCTACTACTTATTCTAAGAATTGCATTTTTTTCTCTTAGTCTATATAAAATAGTGTGGAAATGCATCAAATGGGAAAGTATTGACAAATGTTTTTTTAACACAAGAAAAAAATATGCCTTAAAGAAGTGTGTCATATCTGATACGTATACATGTACCACAGACATCGTTATGGTGCTTTAGTAACTAATGGTGTCTGTATATATTGGACGGTGGTTTACTAACAATTGACGTTAATGCATGTGTTGTTTGGTTACAGAGTTTGTGTCGTGCTAAGCCAGTGAATGGAATGGCCAGGAAGGGCCTCCTACAGCCGTTTGATACCATTTCCCAGACCCGGTGCTGTGTGGACAACTGTGTGATGGTATGATGATTTTGTTTATTATATGAATACTGTGTTATACAGTGTCATAAAGCCATCACATAAATGTATGTAACGTGTGTTATATCACTCCAGAAATGACGTCACAACCGAATAGGAACAATCAATGTGACATCACGACATTGTGAAGCGGACACAATTTTCATCGTTTCAGTGTCGGCCAAGTGCAAAATATTTGTTTCAGATCACAATTATACAGTTTACTTTGTATTACATGATAAAAAAGATCTGTCATTTGTTTCCCTTCATATTAGATTTATGATACTTGTTTTGGATTTTTCATGTTTGCGATCCTCTGGCGATATGAAAAATCAATATATAACATAATTTCTCTTTCAAAATTGATTGATTGTCAAAGGTAGTACATGTATCACAAATTGACACCTTAATGATATATCCAATGTTTTACAATGTGTATATAAGTAAATGCCAAATTATTTGGCAAAATTAGCACTTATTGTGGTGCTACAAATTTAAAAGGATAAGAAATTTTTGGTTAAAATTTGAAATGCAGTCTTTACATATAAGTTGTAGTTAATAACCATTGCAAGGAAACATTGATAGATTTATGATGGTAGAACACCTTAATTTGTCAGATGGCAATCACTCACAAGAAGCTGCTTCAGGATTGGAGGGATAGAGCTAACAAAGGCCAATCAGAGCACCGGAGAGTTATCGCTGAGATGCTGACGCCATCTGGTAATAAACAAGTTGTCAATACTTCATTGAATGAAGGGTTGGTGGGGGTTATTTATTTGCAGTTTTCAAGATCAATCTTATGATTACAGAAAATTAAATCCCTATTTTTTTTAAAATTGCACCACATTTTGTGTTGGTCCAATTGATGTGTGCTTCCTTGAGTGCACTGACGTTTCAGATATATATTGGTACCAGGTGGGCATATCATATTTGATAAAAGATGTTAAAATCATAGCAACAGTAGTTGCAACCAAATGCTTGCTCAGAATACAAGAATTATAAATTAATAAGCAATTTTTGCAAAAGGTTTGGTGACAGAATACTGGCAAACAAACGTCAAGTTCATGCTAAAATAAACGAAAGTATATTTGAAGGGGAAATAGTTGGAAAAGGGGAATTACATGTGATCTTGTCAGATAGTGTGGCATCCGTCGGTGTCAACATTTTCTTTAAACAACATCATGCGGGGATGAAGGGCTGTCTTTCAAAATCACCAGAGACAGATGTCATATATATTATTTTCAACCATTTTTAGGGTAGTGTGGCCTGTAGCATGCTGGTGTGAAGGGCTGTCAAGTTTGTTTGCTTAAATGACCTGGACCTACTTTCAGTCATGGGGGTAAATTTGTGACAAAATATTTTAGATTACTTCCTCTAGATGCCTATACTCTGGGTAATGACATATAATAAGCAAGTGACAAAGGATTATGAGATGTTTGAATGATAAAGACTCATTTTGAAGGTTGCCTCTAAGTTTAACACTACAAAGATCCATATAGATGTAGAGTAAGGATACATGAATTTAGCTTGTTTAAATATATTTGACCTTGACCCAAACTGAAGTTCATAGATTTGAGATGTGTTTGCCAACAGCAGCAAATAACTGGTAAACGGTACAGATCCCTTGTGCCTGATGTATCATATGTGATTAAACCAGACATGAATCGGAGAATACATATTTTGATTTTTCTTTTCAGCTGGAGCAAGGACTAACTGTTATACATTCATTACTTTGGTTACGGGGGCATCCCGTAGCACGATTGTCCAGGTGAGTCATCAGATGAAGCAGACGGGCGGTGAGAGGGAGCCACCTACCCATGGAATGAAAAAGTTCTGGCAATCCAATAGCCATCGCAAAAGTACAGAGGCGATGAGTCTGACCAAAGTTCCCTCCCGTAAGTTCTGGTTATAGAGGCGTAGTTTTAATATGCCTTGTAAAATAAGTTCACTCAGGGAAGTGAGCAGCCGTTACTCATGTGTTATGAAATGTTGTACTTATAAGGTACACATATATGTACTTATTTTTTAATTGGTAACAATTGAACATGATCAATAGAAATTCTTGTCATTGTTTGTGACAATCAATGTAATTTATTAAAAAATCTTCAGTGGTATCTTGCAATGCAGACAAAATCATTTGTCAAATTTTCAAAAGGAGCAGCTTCTTTTTCAAGCCAGAACGAATACTATAATATAAATGGAGACAACAACAATCTGCAAAATTTTTCTTATCACATACCTGTTGAATCTTGTTGTAGTAATACAAGCAATTTTCAAACCATGAAATACAACGTTCTGTATTGCACATGTGCAATATGGAATGTTGTATTTACCTACTAACCAGAACTACTTTTTATGGGAATCCCCTTGTCATGGCGAACTGAAAAATTCACGGTATTTGCAAAAATTCAAAGTTTATAAAAATTTCATATCAATCTCTACCAAATACGGAAGGAATGTGATAAAAACAATACCACACACTTGTGTTTTTCTAACGAATCAGAAAGCACAAGTTTATTGCGCGTACGAATATATTCACGAGTGCGGGGAACACATGTGTATGGTCTTGCACAAACATTAGACAAATATATACGCATGAGGCAATATGGTTCTTTGGTTTAAACACAATATTACCAATAGGCTTATTATGTCCAATGTAATTACTTGGGACAAGATCCTCAACATTTTATGTTAAAATAAGTATACTTTTCATCATCCAAAAACAACATAGTAAAAATGATAGCATTCCTTTTGTTTTAAAGTTTAGTACTCTTGGTTTTCAAAAGTTCAGAGAGGTTAACATGTTGTTTTTGTTGCAGATTTGGGAAAAACTAGTACCAATACAACCTTCACTCATTCTGTTGCTCCAGCCTCTAAACAAAGTGTTGTAGCAGCATCCTGCAATCCTACCACTACAACTTCAAACATCGTTATCCCTGTGTCTGTGAGTGGCACCAGCTCAGGGACATCCAGTGTGAGTGTTTAAATAAGGATTGATTTAACAAGCCATCTCTTAGATACCTGTACCGTGTGTGCCTTAATGTTTGATCTTGTGTACATCATATAACTTAGTTTAGTTACATTTCTGTCATCTGTAAATATGATTTAATTTTAAAACATTCTTGGTATCTGTTCCCCCCACTTAAAAATATGAACGTTAGTGAAACCAAAGCCAAATGTCACCTGGCTTGAGTTCCTAATTTAAGCGGACATGTTCATATGAAATGAATTGAATTTAGCTCACCTGGCACTTACAAAGCTTTGAAATGATTATTAAGCTTTCAATGGATATTTTTATTTTGTCATGGACATATTTTTGTGCTGTCTGGCTGGCAAGACATTTTTGTATTGGTAAATCATGGGAAGGTGGAGTGTTGAATACTGAAAATCGGGTCTTTCTGCTCTATAAATACAGAGTTGTGGCCCTTAGTTAAACACTTACTAAAAATATTTTGGCACGTTTTAAATCTTTGTTTATACACTAGAAATAACACACATTCTGTCTTTCCATTTGTGAAATTTGGACAAAAGTTTGTGGAAAAAAATACTGGTCAATATCCTAAATGCTAGATGTAACAGGCTTGATTTGCAAAGTTTCAATAATAATTATGTTTCTTGACAGTTGACAGTGCAGCGACAACAGCTAATGCAAATACAGCAGCAGATGTTTGAACAACAAGTACAGCAGCAGCAACAACAACATCTTCTACAGCAACAACTGCTGCAGCACACCATTATGCAACAGATTGGACAGGCAACTGATGGAATGCCGCAGGTAGGTCATGTATAGTTCTAGGCTGACAATGCCACAGGTAGGTCAAATATAGTTCTAGGCTGACAATGACACAGGTAGGTCAAATATAGTTCTAGGCTGACAATGACACAGGTAGGTCATACATATATATAGTTCTAGGCTGACAATGACACAGGTAGGTCATATATAGTTAAATATAATAAATAATAATATTATATACTACTCACATTTTGCTAAGGATCACTTTTATTTTTGGGCATATGTGAAAATAAATATTTTATTTGGTTTATACTGAGATTATTTTTGAAAAATTGATTGTTCTATTAATCAGCATGCAAAAATTTCAAAAATCATAATTACAGTTGGAAAATGAGCCACAGGAAAAGGGATACCCTTAAAATTGATAACAACAAGATATTCACTGAAAAATTTGATTTGAACAAAATTCATCCTAAATAAACAGAAACTGTTTTAATATCAAATGTGATGCCCATGAGCATCAATTACAGCTTCACAACGTCTGTGCATGTCCCGAATGAGATCGCGTATCCGGTTTTGTGGGATGGCGTTCCACTCAGCTACCAAAGCTGTTCCGAGCTCCTGGAGCGTTCTTGGCCGAACATTTCTGGCAGAGAGAGCTGTCTGCAGCATGTCCCACACATGCTCGATGGGATTTAGATTCGGCGAGTGGGCTGGTCAATCCATTCGTTGAATAGTCTCTTGCTGTAGATACTGCTCTGTCACCCTTGCTCTGTGTGGCCTAGCATTATCATCAATAAGGATGAAGCCAGGGCCGATAGCGCCAGCATAGGGTCTGACATAGGCATCAAGGATTTCAAAGCAGTAAATCCGGGCCGTAATGGTACAATTATGGGAAACATGGAGGTCAGTTTTCCCATGATGACTTATGCCTCCCCACACCATCACTGAACCTCTGGCATATCGGTCATGTTCCACAACTTTACTTGCCTGGAACCTCTCCCCAGGTTGTCTCCATACTCTAACGTGCCTGTCGGTGAAGTCGAGACAGAATCTTGACTCCTCCGTAAAAAGAACTGGTTCCCATTCCTGAACAGTCCAAGTGCTTTGAGCTTGGGCCCAATCTAATCGTTCCCTAACATGGCGGGCAGTTAAGGGAACTCATATTGTTGGTCTATGTGACCTTAAACCAGCATCATGAAGACAGTTCCTCCTAACAGTCCGAGTCGCTGCCCGGGTACTAGAAGCATTTAGGAGGTCATTTCGTAATGCTGTGGTAGGCCGGAACCTGTGATGACATGCCTGTATGAGCAAAAATAGGTCTTTGCGCTGCGTAGTAGCCCTAGAACGACCTCCAGCATGACGTCTGGAATGGTTTCCGTTAGTTTGGAAACGATTCCACATTATTGCCACCACACTTTGAGACACCCCAAGGTCTGCTGCAACCTGACGTTGAGACATGCTAGCTTGCAGCATTCCGATGCCCCTATTCATTTCACTGTCATTTAACAGTTGTCTGGTTTGTCTTTGTGCCATATTAAAACAAAACCAAGCTAAAAATATTGATTTCCTTAACAATTTGAACAACGCCTTACTTAGCCATGTAGCTAAGCTTTTGAAATGGGTGTACGCGTGGAAAAGCGTGCACACGCTTCTATGGTTGACTGAACACACTCACACAGGATGATTTGGAACAAGTTCACCCAAAACAGTAAGGAAGGAAAATATAATATCCTTTCTAACATTTTGATTTTTTTTTTTAAATATAGGTGATCCTAAGCAAAATGTGAGTAGTATATATTATTCTAGGCTGACATACAACTGATTGAATGAATTAGGTAGGTTATATATAGTTCATAGTTATAGGTGGGAAAATCAGACATACCACACAGCTACCAATGTTTCTTGGGTGTATCTTGGGCATGCCATATGCCACTGGAGATATTTTCCATTCGAGTCCCATGACAAGAACTGCCATTAATTATGGCCATGTCAAATATTCTTCCACAACTTTCTTGTTTAACAACTCAAGAGTCCATCCATTAAATTGCAGAGGTATTGGTAAAATCCATTATCAACACATTTTGTGACCAATTACAAAACAAGTAAATATTGTGTAACTATGGATTCTTAGCATATCTCAAAAGTAATACAGATATAAGTTTTATGATGTTAGATTAAATGTAATGTGTACTATTTCAGAATCTTCCCATGCTGCAGACTATGATAGACCAGTTAAATGTACAGATTCAGAACACACAACAGCAGCTGCAGCTGCTGAGAACCATGAACATGATTGGATCACAGCCTGCTGGCAGTGGGACCACAGGATCATCCCAAAATATTTTATCCGCAGCTGAAAACACCAGTGTCATAGACTCAACATCTCATGGTAATTTTCTTGCTGTGACTTGTAACAATGTGGAGACAGTTCCAATTACTCATTCAAACTTGCTTCAAATGTGTGGAAGCAGTGAAGCAGGACCTACTCATCCCACTCAGCAACAATCCAATGTTATGAACTCAATCAATGTCAGTACAAATCTCCAAACAGCTGATCAAGGTGGATTCCTTCAAAACACGAACCAAATCTTATCAAATCTTTCACCACAGGATCAGCAGAACATCCAATTTTTCAATCAGCTTTCACCGTCACAGATGCAAGGCCAGACACATGGTAACGTAAACAATTCACAAAATTATTTCAACAATTTATCAATGCAGAACAGTGGACATACGATCATCCAAGTCCAGCAATCCCCAGCAATTCCTCCATCACAGCAAACACAATACGTTCAAACATTTCTCCAAGGACCACAGCTCCAGAAAGGACGAGCTAGTTTGAATGAAAGTGGTTCATCCGAACAATTTGTTATCCAAGCATACCCAAGCATGAATCACAGTGTTCAAGAAATCATTGCAAAAAGTTCACAGAATAGTGTACTGATACAGCAATTAAATACTCCTGTAAACCAAGGCCAGCGCCTCACAGTACCTCCATTACTGCTTGTGAACCAACAGCAGGTTGATTGTGGCGATGGCCTTCCGAGTGCATCTCACCTGAGTAAGGAATTGTATGACATCTCTGAAAGTGGATTTCAACAACAGTCAAACCGTATAGATCCTGAACACGGTTTATTAAATACTCCTATCTTGGATCTTGCTCCAGCTATTGTAATGCCTTTTGTAGGTGTTTCAGGTCAGCCCAATACAGAAAGTACACACAAGTCAACAAATGTAACTGGTCAGCCCATCACAGAAAGTACACACGAGTCAACAAATGTAACTGGTCAGCCCATCACACTTGGAACAGTGTGCATGACTGGTCAGACTGTCACAGGAAGCAGTCTCGAGTCAACAGTTGCGACAGATCAGATCACCACAAGAACAATACAGTCAACGACTGTGAATGGTCAAAGTATCACTGAAAATAAGCCTGAACCAGTGAATGTGACTGGACAGACGACTAGAGGAAATTCAACACAGTCAACAAGCATGACTGACCAGACTACTACAAAAACTACACTGGAAACACTGGTAATGACTGAACGTACCACTAAAGGAACTACATCGGAATCAACAATCCTGACTGAGATGGGAAGTACTTTGGAGTCAGCAAGTGTAATTGATCAAACCACCGCAGGAAGTACACCAGGATCAACCATTGTGACTGTGGTAACATCTGTTTCTGGGGCTATTCCATTTTGTCACGTTCCAGTTACAAATGGTACCCAGTCTGTTATTTCAAGTGGGCTTGTTACATCAATTTCGGCAAAAGAAAGGGATTTAGTGCTTGGTAGCACTTCAAACAACCAAACTGGTTCTTGTTATACCTCTACTTCAAGTATTTCTAATCCTTCGTCGTGTTCGGATTCTAGCTTCCTGCACGTATCTCGTACGTTGCCAAACACCAACCGATTCCATACGTCGCCCAAAAGTGCTTTCCATACACCTCAGAAACTTGAACTGGTTACCTGTAGCAGTAGTGATGTTTGTACTCCTCCAACAAGTCGAATGAAATGTCTGCCAGTTGGAAATTCACAAACACAGAATGTCAAATTGGCAAGTTCTGTATCGGGGAATTCATATCAGAGTGCGACCATAGATTTCATTCATGATGTATGTGTACCAAATGCGTCGGTGACCTCTCTCTCAACATGTAAGTCCAAAAGTAAATCTGCGCGTCGTAGCCAGACAACTAAGGTTACACAGAGTCGATTCGCGACTTCTGCTGTACCTACTGCAACTGTTGTGCCGTCTACGCAATCGGTTACAGCCACATATCTATCTGTTCCTATGATTCAAGGTATACAAAGACCTGATACACATCCATCTAAACGAAGCAAGGTCAACTCCGCCAATAAACATTTAGCAATGATCCCTGTGTCTGCCAATCAGCAAGCTGAAAACTCCACAATTTTTCTTCAAAGTAATGATCCTGAAACACAATCATCAATACCAGAAAACAACCAATCTTCACGGCAGAATGTAACTATTGAAAGTGTAGAAAAAGTGAAACATTCTGCTGCGAACGTACATGCTTTAACTGAGAAAGGAACACAGAACACAATAGCTGATGTTACTCATACGACAACAGACACAACTAGACCAAACCAGGTGATGTCGGCACCTATATCTCGGACCAAGAGGACAAGTCTGCAGGTTGTTACTTCCATTTCACAAGTCACTCAAGATTCCATTAACTGCAATACCTATGCTCCTACCAAGAGTCATTCAGTTTGTTCTCATAAAATAGTCAATGCCCCTTATCCCCAGAATTCAATCGTGAAGCTTTCCCCAAAAGGGTCGATAGGTACTACTGTAGAAAAAAAAGCATGCTCTGTCAGGCCTACTACACCAGTCACAAAGACAGTATCTGATACTTCCCATATGCTCCTCAACTTTTCCGGCTTGCAACTACAGAACGTGTTGAGTTCTGTACGTCAAAGCGGAAATGATAAACAACATCCTCCAAATAAGACGGCTCGAACGCAAAGCGTTTCTGTATCGACTGTCCATAAGGAGTCGCACGAGACACCTGTTGGTGACAGTATTCATCCTATGAACTGTACTTTGGTAATCAATCAGGCGCAAAAACAGCGTGAGGTGTTAGGACCAGGACAGGGCCAGCAAATCATTGGTCAGATACAACCGATGCTGCTGAACGCAGCTAACCACAGTCGTAATATGTCTGTCTCGGCAAGCGCAACACAAACGTTAGTAGATTCAAAGAACAATGGAGACCAAAGGACACAGTCGATAACACCTTTGCCGTTAGTACCTAATACAACTTTTACTATTGATTCAGAAACTTTGATGAGGTTATGCCAACAGGCAGCATTGCCACGTTCACCAGTTGTCAGCGTCGATATGAATACACAAATGAACATAAACCTGTAACATGAATCTACTGGTGGCAAAGCTGTCTTCTTGTACAAACTCATTTTCATGACGTGTGTATGTTTGAATGACAACAATGTCTTTGTCAAATTTGCTGTTGATCTTTTAAAATGGTTTTGTTATTCTCACAATATTTTTCCGTAATTTTGTATTGATATGTTTATGACGAACTATTTTCTTACGCGGATAACTTTTGTGTGGACATTATTTCTGGTTTCGGAATACGCTTTATAAACTATAAACTGTCCAATAAGTTTGACCAACTGTTCAGTAGGTTACCCACCTGTGTTATTACTTCACTTTTTGAACAGTTGTGACATCACATTATAGAGAATATATGGGTGGAGCCGAATGGGAGTAATTCAGCTTAAATTAAAAAAAAGCAAACACATGAATCTTTTTAGTATAATATTAAATTAACATATGGAATTCCAGTGGTGTACTTTCCTTAGAATCCAACACATTCGAAATCAACAGCGAGAGTACTGTACCAACTATGGGATTTCAACACAACCATTATTCAGCAGCTAGAATACTTTACCAGAGGTGTATATATCCATGGAATTCAGCACATTCAAAATTCAACAGTTATCCTGTCTGCTTCTTGTGTAATTTTCTGTATCTTCTTTTCCGATAGGTCTGGGAAAATGTCGCTTTAATCGCAAAATTTAGTCTCTTATTTTCCACCTCGAATCCCAAAATATCACTCAAGACTTCATCACTGAAAATCTGCTTTCCAAAACGTCCATAACTTCAGACCGAGTTATAAAATGAACATCCTCAGTGTAAGAAGACACTGTTTTATAAATACGTAAACATACATGAGTTTTCCGTAAGTGTGACAATAGGTTAACCAGTCAGTCGATAAGTTGAATACGTCAGTGAACACCAATAGAAAATATTTTAAGTTAAATATAAGCGGGAAACTGTCCAATAAGTGAGAGAAAAGACAGGTCGAGGCCCGTTATGTATCCATAACATAAGCTGGTGATTCAGACCTTTTTATACGGTGAAAGAGGTAATCAATACTGCTGTTTTAAAGTATTTCAGCTAACTTGAATGGACTATCAGCGTCTCACCTTCGAGTGAACTTGTTCTTCTGGTTCCTCTAATAATATTTCTTGTCCATGCCATAACTAATATACCAACATATCTTGATGAAACTTGCTGTATACTTGCATCAACCTCAGGCCATGTGCAGTACTGTGCCATTATGCCACTGTGACCTTGGACTTAATGTCAAAGGTCAAATACGTGCGGATTGTTCAGGAACATCTTAACTGGACTATTCCGTCTTTGCGTATTGCAGTTATCTTCTCTTGAGAGCAGGAATTGATTGTTACGTCATTGGTTTGTGTGAGAAAATTACGTCGTTTTCTCAAAAATTGATGACGTTACTCTCACAAACAAATGACCTAAAAATCAATACCTGCTCTCAAGAGAAGATAACTCTGCAATACGCAAAGACGGAATAACATTTAAGCCATAAAGACGTCACGGAGAAACTTGAATTATACTTGCATCACCCATAGACGATGTGCATTGCAGTTTCATTAGGCTACTCTCTGTGACGTTGACCTCAAAGTGAAAATGTCAAATAAATGCAAACTTTTCAGTTATATTTAATCTGGTCTGTAACTTAAAACTTATAAAAGATGTCTTAATGAATCTTGTAATATAATTGCATCATCAACAGATGATATTCACCGCACTGTTATAAGGTCGCTTATCTCAGAGGCTAATGTCAAATAAGTGCAAACTTTTCAGTTTAGACTTAAGTGTGTTGTTACATACCATGTAATACGTTTTTAATTGCATTTATTCCTAAACACATTTTATGATTCATGAGTATAGGCAAATATTCTAATATAAAAAATGTTTAAGAAGATTGTAGATATAGTGATCAACCATCACGAGTTTGGGGACCTTTTTCTCGCACAACGTTCATATATTGTATCTAGAAAACCGTCTGTTTCACTTTGGAATAAAAACAATCTGTTTCCATTCGGGGAAACATTTGCCATGAAAATAAGCACAATAGAAAAGCATTGTAACTTGACGTCATAATTAGAAGACTGACCAACGAAATCACTAATGGGTAACCAAAAATGTTTTAAAACTCCTAGAAGGTTTATTGGGAGTGAGGAAACCTAGTGTTTGTGGAGGAAACTAATATTTTTTTTAAACTTAATAAGCGTATTTTATTTTGCTTCTCAAGGGGAAAGAATATTGGGTAATAAGAGGAGACATGTTTTTATACGCCCGTCAAATTTGACGGAAGTATTATGGTATTGGGTTGTCTGTGTCTCCCTTAAAAGAATTTTGATTCGACAATTTTTCCAGAGGTTCTTGCCCTTTTGTTCATTTGTGTATTTGAATTTTTTGTTCGGAGATCTCCTCCTACATTTTTTTGACGGATTTCTTTGAAACTTAGTAGGGTAAATAATCATGATATGTTGTTGTGTTTCCTTTAAAAGAATTTTGATTCAACTTTTTTTGCAAAAGTTATTGCCCTTTATTTAGTTCCGTATTATATTTTTGTCCGGCAATCTCCTCCTACATTTTTCAACTGATCTCTTTGAATCTTGGTATACATTATAATCATGACATGAAGTTGTGTCTCCTTTAAAAGAATTTTGATTCGACGATTTTTGCAAAAGCTATTGCCCTTTGTTCATTTTCAGTATTTTTGTAGCATGTCAGCTAACCACTCTTAGAATGATGCAGATCTTATTTCAATGCAAGAAAGTATATAACACTATATGGCATTCGACGGGCGTATATTGTTCCGCCTTGCGGGTACTCTTGTTTTGTTTGAGGCTGGTGTTACAAAATGGGTGCCCTATCACACTTTACTGTGACGTCATTTTAATAATTTCAATTTGATGTCGCGTCGGCTAAGTTCAGAATCAACCCTAGTACTAGTGTTACTGATGGGTTTCAGTTCAACTGATTTGATAAAATTGGTTGAGTTTCTGAAAATAAAATCATGCCAAACTCATTCAATGCTTGAAAAGCTAAACCAATATGGCATTCATTTATGATCACTCTGTAAGACATTTTCACGCGATGCTTGCGAATTTTGTCTAATTAGTATATCAATTCTCATGATGCTTAGGAGTTCCCTCAATCGTTAATGCTGTAGGTTCCATGCTAATTGGACATGAATCGATTTTGCTTCAACCGGATCTAACTGACATCGAGAAAAACCATTTTGTGGACAGAACAAAAGCTGATCATTACAAATTTCAACATTAACTATATTAATACTACAAATATGAATTTGATAATAAATGATTTATTAAATCTGTTATTAAAATCCATGAATTCGATGAATCGATAGCCGGTCGTAAATTGATCGTCAACAAGGTTGACGCGACTCGAGATTATTTTGTCATGTTCAGGAAATATATGAAAAAAAAGGTATGCATGATGTACCATTTATTGAATGAAATCTAATATCAAAGAAACTTTTCATTCATAATAATTATATATAATAGTAATAACATTTTTGAAAGCATTTAGATATGGCACAGAAACATAAAAAACCAATTCTATATTAGTTTTGCTAACATATTTCACTTATTCGGATTCATGAGATTGACGTATTACGCACGTCTCGGATAATGAGACAATCTGAACTGGCTAGCCGAAAAATGAATTAACAACAAAAACTACCGACATGTCAAGTACCCCCTATCTAAATGCTCGTAACGTTATTGTTAATTCTGAGTATTTATTTGTCCCTATCTGCTTGAAAAGCCTTTCAAAAGCTCTATTGGTAGTGGGAAAATGATCGTGGAATTCCTCTCAGCAGCTATGGAATTGAGTGTTTGCAAGTAGCGAAGCTGAAGGGCACCTGGAGAATCAGCCATTACGTTAGCGGCTTCCTTCAGTGCGACGGAGGCCCTCTGTTCACCCTCTGCAGCTAAAACCTGTCGATAAAATAAAATAGTTAGCATGGCTTTGATAATTAATAGGGGTTAAGACCTATCGTTGGTTATTTCTGACAATATCAAGGGACAATTGAGTGAAGTAAGATTTTTAGCTTATGCCATACCGTGGTGTCCGTCCTCCGTCCGTCAACAGTTTCTTTAAACGACTACTTTGATTGGAAGTTAACTAAATCTGACTGGAAGCATCCCTAGGTGGTGGTGATTCAAAAATGGAAAAATGGTTGGCCTGACCCCCAGGGGGCTGAGGGGCGGGGCCAAAAATGGGCAATTCGGCTATATTGCTATAAACAACTTCTTCTATCGAACTATGCATTGGATATCAATCATGTTTGATCAAAAGCATTCATAGGATGCAGGGATTCAATATTATACAAATGGTGGGGCTGAGGGGCGTAGGCCAAAAAGGGTTATTTGGCTATGTTGATTTAAGCGACTTCTTCTCTGGAACTAAGATATGGATATCAATCATATTTGACTGGAAGCATCCCTAGGTGGTGGTGATTCAAAATTGTGCAAATGGTTGGGCTGACCCCCATGGGGCAGGGTTATTTGGCTATATCGCTTTAAGCGGTTTTTATCTGTAGAACTATGCACTGGATATCAACCATGCTTGACTGGAAGCATCCCTAAGAGGTAGGGATTCAAAATTGTACAAATGGTTGGCCTGACCCCCCAGGGGGCTGAGGGACGGGGCCAAAAGTGGGCAATTTGGCTATATTGCTATAAACGACTTCTTTTGTAGAACTATGACAGGGATATCGATCATACTTGGTTGAAAGCATTCATGGGAGGCAGGGATTCAAAATTGTGCAAATGGTGGGGCTGACCCCCAGGGCTAAGGGATGGGGCCAAAGAAGTATATTACTTGGAAATAGTTGAGATCCCCACCGCATAACCATATATACGATTGCTNATCATAACGTCGAAATGGTTAATATCCCAACCCCAGACATAACGAGACGAATGCAGTCATGATATTAGTTTTGCCCCCAGGGTCTGCCCCACCCTTGCAGATTTAACACCTGGGTCATAACTTTGAAACAGTTGAGATCTCCACCCCAAAACTATAAATACAAATACTGGGTAAAAAGAGAGAAATGCAGTCATGAAACTAGAATTGATTCTCGGGTCTGGCAACAACCCTAGGGACCTAGTTTCTGTGTTACAGCTTAGAAACAGTTGAGATCCCCACATAAAATTGCTGGGCATGAACAATCTAATACAGATATGCTACAAGTATTGGCCTTGGGGTTTGGCATATTCCCTTGGATCTCATTTGGTGAATATTTTGTCATGATTGTTTCGATATCCAGGTGAGCGATACAGGCCCTCTGGGACTCTTTGTTTTATAATCTTGTCAAAAAAATCTTCATGATATAGTTTGATACTCCTTATGAACAATTTATGTCGAGAAATTGACAGGAGACACTGTTTCTTGGCGTTTTTAATCAGTAATGAATAAATCCTTAACTGTACAACCGTATTTCTAGCTAACAAAAATGTCTATCCAGCCGAGGAGAGAAGGTAAATTCTCGATTTATCCACCTAGCATTTTTGTAATGCAACTACAGGTATTTATTTTGAATCAAAAGCATCTTCCAAACAACATCTCAATTATCGTTAAAACCTATCGATATTGTACTTTCTTCTCCGTGCGGTAGGCCTACCCCTTCAGAGCCTGCATACTCTGATTAAACCTGTCTGTTTTCATTCAAATCCAACTGTGATTACAGATGTACATGTATATATCATAATCCTTATATGACAGAACAACGACAGCCTCCTACAAATACTCCTGTTCTTAACTTACAGTTATCGCATGGAAGTTTTCTATTACTATGGTCTCGGTCAATACTTTGGTAACACAAAGTAGTTTTAATCTGACATCGTTATAAGAAAGAAACTTATCCACTTTGCAACCCGTTGGTACTGCAACACAAGAAGAGTTTTCGATGACCAGACGATCGGTAATTTATCATCGTGTTAATCTAAACGTGACTGATCACTGATCATCTAAACGTGACTGATCATCTTAACGTGACTGATCACTGATCATCTAAACGTGACTGATCACTGATCATCATCTAAACGTCACTGATCATCATCTAAACGTGACTGATCATCTAAACTTGACTGATCAGCCGCCTGGGGATGATAACAAAGAAATGAGTTAACAGTAAGTTTGGTGACGTAAAACTTTGAATTAAGATTTTAGAATGTATGTGCGTTTAGTTGGATTGCATGTGTTTTGCATTACCTTTGCTCTCGCTTCTCGGGATGCCTCTGCCTCTGCCGCCATAGCTCTCTGTAACTGATGGGGCAATCGAACATCTTTTCTGTAATAGTGACATCGTGTCTGTTATGCTAAATAACTGTCATGATAATTATCAAACTTTATTTAATTTTGCAGTATATCATGTAGATCAGTCAAGATGCGCTTTTGATAAGAAATATTTACCGCTTCTTTACATGTTTTCTTTTCAATGTTACCACTGCGGAACATTCGGACTGATAACATGCTCCCAACTATATTCGGAATGATAACACCACCCCGCTTGATTAGGACGAATGTCACCCTGCTATTTGTATTCGGAATGATAACACCACCCCGCTTGATTAGGACGAATGTCACCCTGCTATTTGTATTCGGAATGATAACACCACCCCGCTTGATTAGGACGAATGTCACCCTGCTATTTGTATTCGGAATGATAACACCACCCCGCTTGATTAGGACGAATGTCACCCTGCTATTTGTATTCGGAATGATAACACCACCCCGCTTGATTAGGACGAATGTCACCCTGCTATTTGTATTCGGAATGATAACACCACCCCGCTTGATTAGGACGAATGTCACCCTGCTATTTGTATTCGGAATGATAACACCACCCCGCTTGATTAGGACGAATGTCACCCTGCTATTTGTATTCGGAATGATAACACCACCCCGCTTGATTAGGACGAATGTCACCCTGCTATTTGTATTCGGAATGATAACACCACCCCGCTTGATTAGGACGAATGTCACCCTGCTATTTGTATTCGGAATGATAACACCACCCCGCTTGATTAGGACGAATGTCACCCTGCTATTTGTATTCGGAATGATAACACCACCCCGCTTGATTAGGACGAATGTCACCCTGCTATTTGTATTCGGAATGATAACACCACCCCGCTTGATTAGGACGAATGTCACCCTGCTATTTGTATTCGGAATGATAACACCACCCCGCTTGATTAGGACGAATGTCACCCTGCTATTTGTATTCGGAATGATAACACCACCCCGCTTGATTAGGACGAATGTCACCCTGCTATTTGTATTCGGAATGATAACACCACCCCGCTTGATTAGGACGAATGTCACCCTGCTATTTGTATTCGGAATGATAACACCACCCCGCTTGATTAGGACGAATGTCACCCTGCTATTTGTATTCGGAATGATAACACCACCCCGCTTGATTAGGACGAATGTCACCCTGCTATTTGTATTCGGAATGATAACACCACCCCGCTTGATTAGGACGAATGTCACCCTGCTATTTGTATTCGGAATGATAACACCACCCCGCTTGATTAGGACGAATGTCACCCTGCTATTTGTATTCGGAATGATAACACCACCCCGCTTGATTAGGACGAATGTCACCCTGCTATTTGTATTCGGAATGATAACACCACCCCGCTTGATTAGGACGAATGTCACCCTGCTATTTGTATTCGGAATGATAACACCACCCCGCTTGATTAGGACGAATGTCACCCTGCTATTTGTATTCGGAATGATAACACCACCCCGCTTGATTAGGACGAATGTCACCCTGCTATTTGTATTCGGAATGATAACACCACCCCGCTTGATTAGGACGAATGTCACCCTGCTATTTGTATTCGGAATGATAACACCACCCCGCTTGATTAGGACGAATGTCACCCTGCTATTTGTATTCGGAATGATAACACCACCCCGCTTGATTAGGACGAATGTCACCCTGCTATTTGTATTCGGAATGATAACACCACCCCGCTTGATTAGGACGAATGTCACCCTGCTATTTGTATTCGGAATGATAACACCACCCCGCTTGATTAGGACGAATGTCACCCTGCTATTTGTATTCGGAATGATAACACCACCCCGCTTGATTAGGACGAATGTCACCCTGCTATTTGTATTCGGAATGATAACACCACCCCGCTTGATTAGGACGAATGTCACCCTGCTATTTGTATTCGGAATGATAACACCACCCCGCTTGATTAGGACGAATGTCACCCTGCTATTTGTATTCGGAATGATAACACCACCCCGCTTGATTAGGACGAATGTCACCCTGCTATTTGTATTCGGAATGATAACACCACCCCGCTTGATTAGGACGAATGTCACCCTGCTATTTGTATTCGGAATGATAACACCACCCCGCTTGATTAGGACGAATGTCACCCTGCTATTTGTATTCGGAATGATAACACCACCCCGCTTGATTAGGACGAATGTCACCCTGCTATTTGTATTCGGAATGATAACACCACCCCGCTTGATTAGGACGAATGTCACCCTGCTATTTGTATTCGGAATGATAACACCACCCCGCTTGATTAGGACGAATGTCACCCTGCTATTTGTATTCGGAATGATAACACCACCCCGCTTGATTAGGACGAATGTCACCCTGCTATTTGTATTCGGAATGATAACACCACCCCGCTTGATTAGGACGAATGTCACCCTGCTATTTGTATTCGGAATGATAACACCACCCCGCTTGATTAGGACGAATGTCACCCTGCTATTTGTATTCGGAATGATAACACCACCCCGCTTGATTAGGACGAATGTCACCCTGCTATTTGTATTCGGAATGATAACACCACCCCGCTTGATTAGGACGAATGTCACCCTGCTATTTGTATTCGGAATGATAACACCACCCCGCTTGATTAGGACGAATGTCACCCTGCTATTTGTATTCGGAATGATAACACCACCCCGCTTGATTAGGACGAATGTCACCCTGCTATTTGTATTCGGAATGATAACACCACCCCGCTTGATTAGGACGAATGTCACCCTGCTATTTGTATTCGGAATGATAACACCACCCCGCTTGATTAGGACGAATGTCACCCTGCTATTTGTATTCGGAATGATAACACCACCCCGCTTGATTAGGACGAATGTCACCCTGCTATTTGTATTCGGAATGATAACACCACCCCGCTTGATTAGGACGAATGTCACCCTGCTATTTGTATTCGGAATGATAACACCACCCCGCTTGATTAGGACGAATGTCACCCTGCTATTTGTATTCGGAATGATAACACCACCCCGCTTGATTAGGACGAATGTCACCCTGCTATTTGTATTCGGAATGATAACACCACCCCGCTTGATTAGGACGAATGTCACCCTGCTATTTGTATTCGGAATGATAACACCACCCCGCTTGATTAGGACGAATGTCACCCTGCTATTTGTATTCGGAATGATAACACCACCCCGCTTGATTAGGACGAATGTCACCCTGCTATTTGTATTCGGAATGATAACACCACCCCGCTTGATTAGGACGAATGTCACCCTGCTATTTGTATTCGGAATGATAACACCACCCCGCTTGATTAGGACGAATGTCACCCTGCTATTTGTATTCGGAATGATAACACCACCCCGCTTGATTAGGACGAATGTCACCCTGCTATTTGTATTCGGAATGATAACACCACCCCGCTTGATTAGGACGAATGTCACCCTGCTATTTGTATTCGGAATGATAACACCACCCCGCTTGATTAGGACGAATGTCACCCTGCTATTTGTATTCGGAATGATAACACCACCCCGCTTGATTAGGACGAATGTCACCCTGCTATTTGTATTCGGAATGATAACACCACCCCGCTTGATTAGGACGAATGTCACCCTGCTATTTGTATTCGGAATGATAACACCACCCCGCTTGATTAGGACGAATGTCACCCTGCTATTTGTATTCGGAATGATAACACCACCCCGCTTGATTAGGACGAATGTCACCCTGCTATTTGTATTCGGAATGATAACACCACCCCGCTTGATTAGGACGAATGTCACCCTGCTATTTGTATTCGGAATGATAACACCACCCCGCTTGATTAGGACGAATGTCACCCTGCTATTTGTATTCGGAATGATAACACCACCCCGCTTGATTAGGACGAATGTCACCCTGCTATTTGTATTCGGAATGATAACACCACCCCGCTTGATTAGGACGAATGTCACCCTGCTATTTGTATTCGGAATGATAACACCACCCCGCTTGATTAGGACGAATGTCACCCTGCTATTTGTATTCGGAATGATAACACCACCCCGCTTGATTAGGACGAATGTCACCCTGCTATTTGTATTCGGAATGATAACACCACCCCGCTTGATTAGGACGAATGTCACCCTGCTATTTGTATTCGGAATGATAACACCACCCCGCTTGATTAGGACGAATGTCACCCTGCTATTTGTATTCGGAATGATAACACCACCCCGCTTGATTAGGACGAATGTCACCCTGCTATTTGTATTCGGAATGATAACACCACCCCGCTTGATTAGGACGAATGTCACCCTGCTATTTGTATTCGGAATGATAACACCACCCCGCTTGATTAGGACGAATGTCACCCTGCTATTTGTATTCGGAATGATANATCCATTGTCATTGGTAAGAAAGTTAAGAATTATTTAATATTGGATTAAGTTAAAAAGGACTAGTAATTGTATTTTGCAAGCATGTTATAAAGATATGTTAGAGAATAAGGATAAATGGGTTTTAAACATAGAAAATGATTTATTTAGAATTGGCCTTGGTTACATATGGGAAACGGAATTAAATGATGATATGTGTTATAATGTTATTAGAGAAAGACTTATTGATATATATAGACAAGAATGCAAAGAAAACGTAAGAACATCTTCAAAGGGATATA